CCTGGTGGGGACCTGGGGAGTGCCGGGACAGTGCTGGGGGACAGGAGAGGACACTGGCGAAAGAGTGAAATGGAGACGGGGCCAGATGGAAGACTAGGGCAGCCTTGGGGGGTAGTGGATGGTGGATGAAGGAGCAGAGTGAAGCAGGGACCCGGCCGGGGACTGGGGCTCTGGGGTGGTGCAGAGGTGACATCTGAATGGGTGGACTGGAAGCGTCCTCAGAACTCAGGAAGGAGGTGGTGGGAGCTGCCCCCTCTGCCGCTTTGGGACCCCAGCTGGGTATTCACGTGGTGCTCAGCGGAGCCCCTTCCTCCCAAGCAGGAGTCAGCACTGAAGTCCCTGGGGACAGAAGGCCTCTTTCTCTTTTCCTCCTTGGACACAGACCGGGATTTGTACATCAGCCCGGAGGAGTTCAAGCCCATTGCTGAGAAGCTGACAGGTACCAGGAGAGGCTGGGGACTGGGGTGGGGAGCACCGAGGCATGGCCCTCAGCTTCTTGGCCACTGTGTTTGCTCTGAGCAGGAAGGCCACCTGGAGAGGGAGATGATGGGTCCTGACGGCCCTGGGATTCTCCCTGCCCTGACACTTTCTAGTTGGCGGTTTGGGCGAGCCTGAGCCTGTTCTCAAGTGCAAATACTAGTTAAGGTTGCCTGACCCCTTCCAGACATGACTTGAAGCACTTCATCTGCGTTCTCTCTTTAATTTGCACGGTGTCCCGTGAGGTAGCCGCTGTCCTAATTCTCGCGTTTATAGTTGGGGAGACTGAGGCGCAGAGCCAGGATTAGAACCGGGGCCATCTGGCTCCAGGTCCCGCACCTGTTCACAGGTTTGAGGGTTAGAGACAGTACCTGCAGAGTATACAGTAGCTAGCTTTCAATAGGAGTTCTCACTAGTATTACTCAGTATTAAACTCTGCTTAGGTGCTGTCAGATTCCTAGCCCGTTCTAGCAATCCATTTTTATCTAATTGTGATCAGTTATTATTTTTTTTTTATAAAGATGAGGGCCTGAATCATTCTAATGAATTGTTAAATGCCTCTCGTTGTCTCACCCTTGCCCCAACCGCTATGTCCGTTTCTCTCCCATTTCTTGAACTTGGGATCTTGTTATCCAAATTGGTGGGTGTAAGTAGGTCAGTAGATGGCAAAGGCAAGGGAGAGATGCCGGCCGCTCTCGGGCGAGTAAGCACCAAGCACGTGATGGGCTTTCCGTGTCTCAGGCTGGGTCAGGGAGGTTGGCCACTTGCTGGCCCAGTGACCACAGTCCCCGCCACAGGAGGAGGGTCAGTTGAAAAGTGTGAATTTGCTGGAGCAGATGTGTGTCAGTGTCTCTCAGTGACGTTCAGCTCTGTCGTGAAAGCAGATGGGCAGGTAAACGGGTCAGCCTCGTGCGGATTTGCTTTGACCTTTTCTATCTGCAGACACTTCCCTGAGCATCCACACAGCCTCCTCCTTGTCCTTTTTTATGGACAGCGAGAGTGGGTTCCCTCATAATGACAAGCTCTCTGGGCTTGAGGGCACTTTTAATTTTTTTCGCATTTATTTATTTTTGAGAGACAGAGACAGCGTGAGCAGGGGAGGGGTAGAGAGAGAAGCAGACGGAATCCAAAGCAGGCTCCAGGCTCTGAGCAGGCTGTCAGCACAGAACCCGACGCGGGGCTTGAACCCATGAACCAAGAGATCATGACCTGAGCTGAAGTCGGATGCTCAACCGACTCAGACAATGATGGCCCCCGCTTTTTTTTTTTTTTTTCACATAAATCTTTTTCTCCATCAGGGGAAAATAATCCCTCTCTCCATTACCTCGTAGGCCACTACGAGGGCAAAACGGAACCAAGTTTCAGGAAAACAAAAACTAAAATAATTCAAAGCCCAAAATATCAAATCTATGCAGGAAACAGAAGCAGGCTGTCTAGTTGGTACAGTTATGAGTGTGTTTAATTTTCTTTATATCTTAAAGGTTTTACGAATTGTCTGTATTGAGTCACTTGTAAGGAAATAAAACTTTTTATGAAAAACAGAAGGCCATAAGATACTGGACACTGTTATTAATAATTATCTCTGATAACAGTAAAAGAATTGAAAAAACCAGGCAGGCCTAATAAGCTTACACATTCCTATTGTTCCCTTCCTCCAAGGTTTCCTGATTGCTCTTTGGAAAGTTTTGCTGCATTGGCTTACAAATGCAGAAATAACAATGGTTCTTTAGAACAGGGGTTTGCATCAGGAGCTGCTGGGGAGTGCTGATTAAAAGGGCAGCTTCCTAGGGGCGCCTGGGTGGCTCAGTCGGTTAAGCGTCTGACTTCGGCTCAGGCCATGATCTCGCGCCTCGTGAGTTCGAGCCCCGCGCAGCTCAGAGCCTGGAGCCTGCTTCGGATTCTGTGTCTCTGCCCCTCCCATGCTCATGCTCTGTCCCTCTCTGTCTCTGGATAATAAATAAATGTTAAAAAAATTAAAAAAAAGGGGGGGGCAGCTTCCTCATTCTAGCCCCTTAGGATTCTGGCTCAGTAGGTTTGAGGAGGATACGGGGCATCTGTAGTTTAAAAAGGCATCCTGAGTGATTCTGATGATTCCTGGTTAAGAACTGCTCCGCACGCACCCAGTTGGTCTGTCAGTAGGTTCATCAGCAGATGCCAAGCATCATCTCTGTACCACGAACCTGCCCGGGGACAGCAGCCATGACAAGACCTTCCACTCACTGTCTTTTTCCTTAGAGGTGTCCAGGGCCCCTCCCTCCTGTTAGTCACCCCTTCTGAAATAGGCTTCATTTCTCCCTAAACCTTCATCATGACTCCGTCCACACTTGAAGGGCTTGGACTTGGCTTGCCTCGGGCAGGAAAAGATCTAAGAAATCAAGTTCAGCCACTGCCACTGCAGCCCCTCCTTTTACGGACGGGGAAACAAGGCCACCCAGAAAACCAGGGAGAAGCAAGCGTCCTCTCTTCCAAACTGGCATTCTTGAGGACGTTGTAGCCGCAGAGCTTTTGACACCAAAGACAGTGTCAAAGGTGGTTTGTTTCTCACTTTCATTCCTTGTTCTGATCGAGTCTCTGACAAGCGTTCGTTTCCTCACGAGGCCCCCATGACAGGGACATGCGGGGCAGCACGGTGTCGATTCCCCATGTGGGAAAACCAGAGGGGCTGAGGGATTTGCCCCAGATCACCCAGGAGATGGAACCGACCTCAGCCTAGAGCCCGCGTGCTCTCTTCTCCAAGCCCCAGACAGTAGCTTCTCTTTGGTGCTAGGATCCCGGCCGCCAGGAGAGGCAGCTGCCTGCCCACATGTTGCCTTTGGTGGGCCCAACACCAAGTTCATCTCGGACTCAGTTTGCAGAACAAGGGAGGGGGGACGAGAGTGGCCTTTCTGCAGCCAGCTTGGCCTGGTAGAGCACGGGATGGAGTCAGAAGAATTTGGTTTGAGCCCTAGCTCCGTGGCAACCCGACCCTGAAACCTCTGGTAGGAGTAATATAGGTCAAGTTTATTATGGGTTCACTCGGTACCAAACCTGGTGCTACCGCTACATGAATTCTCTCATCCCGTCCTCATAACAAGCCACTGGCCAGACATCATACGGCTGCTAAGGGGCAGGATTTGAACCCACCTCACCTGGTGCCTGAGCCTTTAAGGAAACTGAGTCTTTGAGATCACAATGCCCTCAGAAGAGGGTCATGGTTGATTGTGGGTTTAGAGTAAAACAAGCCTGGGTTTGAATCCTGACTCCCCCCACTACCTAGCTGTGTGACCTTTGGGAAGTGACTTCACCTCTCTGAACCTCTGCTTTCTCATGTGTGAGATAGAGTTGGCAATGATGGTATTCTCTGCTTCTCAGAGCTCCAGGGAAACAAAAATGTGACACTTACTTGTCGTTACTTCGGTCCGTTAACTGTTACTCCAGCTCCAAGCCTGGCTCTCTCACTCACCTGCTACTCACCTGTCTCTTCTCAGGGCTTCCCCTTCCCGAGAAGAGAGGCCCTGAAGCCTGAGAGCAGGGCCCCTCTCCGGGGACCTCACTGACCGTGTCTCATAGGCTCAGCTCCTGCTGCCAGCTATGAGGAGGAGCTGCCCCTTGACCCCAGCGAGGAGACGCTCACCATAGAAGCCCGATTCCAGCCTCTGATCCCGGAGTCCATGACCAAGAGCAAAGATGGGTTCCTGGGGGTGAGTTTGGGGGGGGGGGG